GGTGGAGCAATGGCAACAATTGGTGTGCGTGTGCGTGCTTGTGTATATGTAAGTACGTATGTATGTACATGTGCGTGTGGTGAGGTGTTTTACGGGCCTGGGCTGGTTCGGAGCAAAGTCGCGCATGACTGACTATCAGATGCCATTGCTCTGCATCCCTCTCTAGTCCACTTAGAGCACACACGCGCACAAAACACGCGCACACGCACGCCCGCACAACTCTTGTCCATAGCCTTTGTGTGTTTTGGTTGGTTGTCGTTCTGCACAGCTGCTTAGTTATCCCCGGCGGTTTTCCATTGTCTGTAGCCCTAGCCCGGCCTCCACACCTATATGCTTGTCACGACGTCTGTCGTACGTTGTGTATGGCACCTGTGCAGTTACACCGGAGGAAAACTCCTTTCTCACCAACACGATCAATAACTTTTCCATCGAGCTTGGACCGCATTACCTGCGGCTGGGCAGCGTGCTCCAGGCCGGGAGCAGCCGCAGCATTGGCGGGACCTTGGCGCGCAGTACAACCGCCGGCCAATACGGCACTTTTGCGGCACCGCGGGCACTGTCGTACATTGATGAGGACAAGGCGGGCGAAGAGGGAGCGGAGGAGCTGTCTTTCCTGCTACCCAAGGTGAAGGCGCTGCGGTGCTCCTGTGTTGCTGTTGTGATGCTGTTGATGGGGTGTTACACTGTGGGCGGCTCGCCCGATAAAGGACGAGCACCGGGGGCCCTGACCGGGCCGAAACACAGCGCAGGGATGGGCGCGCGGCTCTACGTCCGTCTGTTCCTCCGCGCGCGCCTCGATCCCTCACTCACGCCAACCGGGACACTCTCCCAGCCCCTGGCTAGGCGACACAGTGGCGCAGAAGACTGCGAACCGATCTATACAAGAACCGCACGAAAGGCGCCACTTCGCCTGGCCTGCCTATTCACGCGCTCTCGTCCCTCTTGACCGCCAAAACAAGGACAAGAAGAAAACACCACCGGGGGCAGGGGCTCTACTCAGGGGGCCTCCTCTACACACTCAAAAAAAAAACAGGGCCCCACGCAGCCAGCAAGGCAAGAGATACACGGAGGACCACGGGCCTGAGACGACACACCACAAAAGCCGAGATACGGATGCACAGAGAAGACCAACACAAAGCGAGTACTCGCACACTGGTCCTCGAAGGCCAGCTGTTCAACTACCACGAGCAACGAACAACGAACACTTCCCGAGGGTGGCCACCACTTCCTCGCCGGTCCACTCACAAACGAGGCGAAACTGGTCCGCACGTCAGTCTCCTCCTGGGGGTTGCGGGCTCTCGGATGCAGCCCAGCGCGAGACACAGCAAAAACACCTAAAGCCGCGGGGGGGATGACAAGCCAGCACGGCGCCCCCCAATAAAGCCCGGTGTTGTGTTGCTGTTGTGATGCTGTTGTTGGCCGTCCGTGGCCTTTACGGCTTTTGCGGACGGCCCGCGTACATGTTAGCGGCATTTGTAACATGTAACATGTATTGCAGCTGCTGCTATGGCTCTTGCCGCTGCCGCTGTTCTTGTTGTTGTTGCATTCGCTGCCATTCTTCTGGCTGCTGTTGGTAATGGCGACGGTGGTGGTGGTGCTACTCGAAAATTTCTGGGCGTACGGGGTTTGCGCACTCGTTGCTCTTACCGAGAGTGTGGCTGCTGCCTGTCCCGCTGCCGCTTCCCTAAAGCAGATAACGCCGTACGCCGCGCCGTACGCCGCGCCGAGGTTGACGGACCCCACCGTGGAGATTCCTTCGGTGCCTGCAGCTCAGCGTGCAGCTCTCCCTGCATCCATGCCGGTTCCGAAGGCCGCGGTGAGACCCAGAACGACCCACGGGTCACTAATCTGCGGGAACCGTGGGACATCGTCCCACTCACCCCCCTTTGTTGGACACTGCCGGATTGACGCGTGGGTCACTGTGACCCGTGGGACACTGCACGCCCACTGTCGCGTGCGGCCCTCTGTTTCAACTCCTCTCAATTGTGAGGCTCCAGATTGTCATTATTCATCATATTCTTTTTAAATGGTCGGTGTGTTTCCATGTAAGCTAAGCTGGGACTGGTTTCTGGGCTGGCCCCAAAACTCTACCTGGCTCCACGCCGACCCTGTGCCCGCTGTCGTCCTGCCCGTCGGCCTTCCCTAGGCCGTGGACCCAGCACTTCCGCATCCTTTGCTCGACGGCGGAAATTCCTACGACAATAGTGGTACGGCAGCAATGGGGGTAGCGGCTCACATGACCGCTGCCGCCGGCGGCGCCACTGCCGCCACGAACTCCGTGTCTTCCCGGTACTCCTCTTCCCCCCGGCTGCCGCTGACGATCTGTCCGTATGGAATTGGCAGCAACGCCGCCGCCGCCGCCGCCGCCGCCTCAAGCCTCCCAGCCCTTCCACGCCAAAATTCCCCTCTCATGCGGTCTAGCCTGGGGGGAGGAGTGCATTCAAATCCGGTAAGCACGTCACGGACGGTACGGCGCGATGCCGGCGGTGGCGGCGGCGCCGCCACCCTCGCTGCCGTCAGCTCCGTCCCTTCAATCCGCGGCACCACCACATACCTTCAGCATACCGGCCTGGACGAGGGTAAGCGCCTTCGGGCGGTTCTCAAAGCGCTTGTTAGCGTGGCGACGACAGACGCTAACGCCGCTGTCGTCAGCAGCGGTAGCAACGCAACGACGATGGGCGGTCACGGTGCGGCGGTGTGGAGCGGGTCACTCGCGCGCACCTCCCGTCACCCGTCCGGCAAGGTCCTCTCCGCCGCCGCCACAGCGGCGGCGACGGCGGCAGCGATTGCCAACCTGGCCTCCACGCCGCTGCCAACGCTGCGCCCCGGCGGCAGCGGCGGAGGCGGCGGTAACGACTCGGCGCTGGATGCCACGGCGGGATCTGAGCTGCCGCTGCACCCGACGACGACGGCGGCGGCGCCGGCGGCGGCAAGCGGCCTAGCGGCCTTGTCATCGCTGCGGCCTGAGGCCATTCGGTGGCATGAGGTCCATGTGCGGCCGTGCTTCGATCCCATGAGTAGCGAACCACTTACTATGGTAAGGATGCGGTTGACGGTTGGCGGTTAGCGGTTAGCGAATGAGATTAGTTGTCCGCGGAAGAAGGGCATGATGCAAGCAGATGGTGTATAGCACGACGCCTGGTGCAGGACATGAGTGTACTTGGTGTTAATAATTAAAAGGGGGGTTAGTTTTCTTCCTCCTCGTTAACATACTAATGCTACTGCTGCGGCGGCGGCGGCGGCGGCGGCGGCTCCGAAACCAGGAAACCCCGATAGTAGCAAGGTGGTCTTGCCAGGCTTCACTAGCTCACGATTGACCCTACTAATAGCGATGAACTCTTCTGCGTGCGCCCACCCTTGCTGTGCCTTTTGCTTGGCTTTGCCGTGTCCTTTGCTTGGCCTTGCTGTGCCTTGCCGCGTCACGCTCTTTGGCCGCTGCGCTGCATGTCCCGCTGCGACCCTCAGGTCATCCAGACGGACGTCACAAGCAAGGTGGGGGGTGAAGGGAACCGCATGTACTGGATTTAGGGTTTTAGAGATCTCCATGATCCAGCGTCGCGAAAGACCAACAGGGATGGATAAGAGGGCACCATTCCTATGTCTGCCTGTCCGTGCTTCAGTCTGTCTGTCCGTGCTTCTGTCTGTCTGTCCGCGCGGCACCACTTATCCACAATCCATCTCCGATCTTTTACGGATGTCCCCTGCACTTGTGCGCAACTCGTAACCTATAAACGCATAACCTACAACCTTGTAACTACCGCTCACCCACAACCATTCACCCAAACCGGCAAACGCCCTCCCGTATACGAGAGTCTATTTATGTACGATATTGGTACAGCATTCGTACGGCATGTGAACGGTTTCGTGACTGTCCGATACAGGTTCGTGCTGAGGAACTGTTGGCCCGTGTCTTAGAGGCGGAGCACCGGCTGCTGGCGGACATCTTTCCGAGCCATGTGGTGCAGTACATGACTCAGCGCCGTAAGGACGAGGCGGAGCTGGAACGCAACGGCCTGACGCTACTGCGCCACATTCAGGTGGTCTGTCGTACTGCATCCCTTCTCCCGTACTCTTATCCGCCGTACTCGTATCCCAACCTTATTGAAGAACCTGTACCGCACATTGCGTGTGCATGGGTGTGCGTGCTTGCGAGATGACGGCACCACCATCCATATGCGAACATGAAAAAGCATGAAGACGACTGAAAGCTAAAAAAAACCCGTCCCCGTGTGGCTGTCGAGGCTCTGTGCACCACAGCTCTGTCTGCGCGTCTGTCTATCTGTCTGTCTATCTGTCTGTCTATCTGTCTGTCTATCTGTCTGTCTGCTTGCCTACCTGCCACTCTATTATTCTTTTATTTGTATGTATGTATGTATGTATGTATGTATGTATGTATGTATGTATGTATGTATGTATGTATGTATGTATGTATGTATGTATGTATGTATGTATGTATGTATGTATGTATGTATGTATGTATGTATGTATGTATGTATGTATGTATGTATGATACACATTTGTCGACTTCCCTCCCGGGGGCTCAATCTGTCCTGGCCCATGGGTTCCATGACCCCCTGCAGGACCCAGCTGCTGTAGCCACCCTGCACGACAACGTGACTGTCCTGTTTGCGGGTGAGGGGGAACGGGTCTTCACAGCTATAGGCCTGTTCGTGGTGCCGCTCCTGCACTAGATGTTGATCTCGCTCGCGCCCCCCCGTTTCCTGCGTCCCCCGGTTCTACCTTTTACGGACCTTTAGGGAAGTGGTCTTAAGTGGTTTTAGGTGGTCAGTGTAGGAAGGGTTAAGCTCCCTTGGCATCTCCCTGAGTACTCTTTGCCTGGTGTTACAGTTTAAAGGACGGAGATTGCGGTTTGTTACTTCGCCCTTCCCCGTACACTCCCGGCATTCCCGGACCACAAATTAAATTTTTTTAAGCTAGCGATTCCTCCCTCACCTCCCTCACCCTCTTACCACCTCCCTGCCCCCCCCCTTTCCCGGGATTCAGACATCAAGGGTTTCACGGAGATGTCGAAGGAGGTACCCCCTGCCGTGGTGATGACCTTTTTGAACGACCTGTACACCAGGTTTGACAGCCTGACGGACGTGTACGGCGTGTACAAGGTGGAGACCATCGGCGACTGCTACATGGTTGCCGGCGGGCTGATGTCCCGCGACGGTTACGGGTACGGCCAGGCTGTTCGGGGCCAGGGGGACACGGACCCGCTGCACGCCATGCGGGTGGTCATGTTCGCGAGGGCCATGCTGGAGGAGGCGGCCAAGGTCACCATGCCAAACACGGGCGAGCAGGTGCAGGTACGGCACGGTACGGTAATTGAGTGTTCCCTTGATGTCCGGGGGGTTGTGAGCTGTGAGCGATATTGCTCAACGATAAAAAAACGTTCTGATGATACCGTTGCATCCTCTATGCGGCCGTGGTGCAGGTATAAATACACCGTATAACTTAGATATACTGAAGATTTTAAATTAATGTTGTAGAATTTAGGTAAGTACTAATAAAATTTAAATAAATACTGTAGACTTTAGGTCGGGCGTGGACCATGTTGAACAGTGCCCATCCCATCAGCAATGGTCACATAAGCAAATTGGGTCAGATCAGTAAAATACGTCGGGGGCCCAAGTCGTAACAGCAAGTTTTTTTTAATAAGGAATATCGGGGGCTTCACCTTAGGTCATTAAATGGTTTCCCCAGTCGTTGTTTACATTTCCCCGCTCAATAAAAAAATTCCGAATCGCATTCCCCTTCCCCCAACCCGCTTAGGTCCGAGTGGGCATCCACAGCGGCTCGGTGATGAGCGGTGTTGTGGGCCAGAAGATGCCGCGCTTTTGCCTTTTCGGTGAGCGTGTGTGGGGTTTGGGGACGAGGGGGGGAGTGGCGAGGGAAGTGGCGAGGGCAGTGGCGAGGGGGGAAGGCGAGGGGGGAAGGCGAGGGAAGTGGCGAGGGGGGAAGGCGAGGGGGGAAGGCGAGGGGGGAAGGCGAGGGAAGTGGCGAGGGGGGAAGGCGGGAGCAGAGAGGGACACGCATTTGTGCGTCCAGTGTCATCCACGCATGTGTACCAGGCTGAACCGGCGCCAGTTGTACGACTTGCCGTACTCGTCATCCTGTGTCCTCCGCCCTTCGCAGCGGACCCTTCACGGCCGTCATGTCTTCTCTTGTACCGCGTCCTTGCTGGATACCATTGAGGATGCCACCGGCAACCACATACACATGCGCACATGCCTTTGCTAGCAAACCTTCCAATTCGCCTCCCTCCATTCCCCTGCTGCCTTCTCTCTCTCTCTCTCTCTCTCTCTCTCTCTCTTTCTTTCTTTCTAGTGGCTGGCCGGTGAAAAGACCTCTCAAGATGCCGGCAGAGCGCCTTAACGCGTATTTGTAGATGATGTGTGTGCCGGACTAAGCGGCAGCTATTACACACACACACACACTCTCCGCAACTCCTCGCCTCCCCTCATCACTTTGATCACTAACTGATCGTCTCGTTCCTGCTCCCGACGCGTCCCTGCCTTTCATGTTTTCATGTGCATGGTGAGGTGCATCCCCATGCACGGTTTTTTGCGGCATTCTTCATGTCTGCTGGATGCCTTACTGTTTTTTTGCCTCCCTGCCGCCTCCAACGCCCCCCCTCCCCCTCGCATTACTCTCTACAGGTGACACCATAAATACCGCCAGCCGCATGGTAAGCCCGAACAAGGGATAACCACATGCATACATGCACACTACATGCATACATGCACACTACATGCACACTACATGCACACTACATGCACACTACATGCACACTACATGCATACATGCACACTACATGCACACTACATGCACACTACATGCATACATGCACACTACATGCACACTACATGCACACTACATGCATACATGCACACTACATGCACACTACATGCATACATGCACACTACATGCATACATGCAACAATGCACACTACATGCACACTACATGCACACTACATGCACACTACATGCACACTACATGCACACTACATGCACACTACATGCATACATGCAACAATGCACACTACATGCACACTACATGCACACTACATGCATACATGCAACAATGCACACTACATGCATACTACATGCATACATGCACACATGAGTTCATTAGATGTTACCACCAAGACCCGGGACCCAGGCGTGATGAAACGCAGTGCTCCAAAGTGCGGAAGAGAGGTCTGGTGCCTGAACTCATCTTCACTTGACTTCCCAACCCGGTCCCACACACACACACGTGCTGTCATGTCCATCCGGTTAGTCTTCTGTTAGTCCCTTGTTCCGACCCCCGCTACTACTACCCGGACGGTGCGTGTTGGGATTGTGCCTGAGCCATCGTCTTGTTGTAAAACTTTTTATATTCTAGATAATTGCTCCTGTTTTCGCGCCCTCCCCCTCTCCTGGAGTCTTTTCTTCTCCCTCCCCCCCGTTCGGCTGCTTCGTTGGGGTCTTGGATGCTTTGCTGTCTGGACGTGAACAGTTGGGTGTTGACATCGCCACCCACATCGTTTCGCACCCCCGCTTCCTCCCTTCTCGCTTTCCCCCTCTCGTGTCTTTAGAGCTTCGCCGCGCGCTTTTCTCCCCCCCTTCCTCTGCCCCTCCCTCCCTCCCTCAATCCCTCCCCGCCCACTCCCCCCCTTCCGCCCCCCTCCTGCGCTCGTTCCCTTTCCCCTCCCCTCCAGGAGAGCACGGGCCGCCCCGGTGCCATCCACGTGTCGTGTGCCACTCGGCGGCTGCTGGCACCCGAGGAGGACGAGGAGCTGTGGGCGCCCACCGGGGGGGTGGAGGTCAAGGGGAAGGGAAGGATGGAAACGGTAAGAGAGGGAGACAGAGAGGGAGAGGGGGAAGGAAGGAAGGAAGGGGGGGAGGTAGGAGGAAGGTATGGCAGGAGGGCGGTGAGGAGGAGAAGGAGGAGAAGGAGGAGGGAGATAGGAGGAAAGGAAAGTTGTGAATAAGCAGGAAGGGCCCTGTTGCCCTGCTTCAAAACCCTCTGCTGTCCTGTTTCGGAAGTCGGCGTGTTTCCCGTTCTCATCCCAACATGCAGATCCCGCCCGACACGTCTCCTCATGTGCGTCTTTGCTAACTGGGTACTTGGATATTTACAGTTGGTGTTAACAACTAATAATGTCCGCACGATGTATAATGGGTTAATGCTCCAACTTATTTGTCTCGTTATTCCATTTACTTACTGCATCTTTTTTCTCCTCCGCCTCTTTCGCCTCTTCCCACCTCCTTCCGGTGCTAGTACCTCTGGTTGCCGCAATCGCCCGCTGCGGGCCGCCAACGGCGCGACAAGCAGCAGCGCGCTATGCTGCTCGGCACGCTGAGCACATTGCTCCCACCGTCGACGTCTGTGTCGCCGCCAAACTCCAGGCGCCTGGCAAGCGGCAGAGGAGGCATCGGTGGTGCGAGCGGAACCGGCGGATTACCGCTTCCTCAACCCCATCACCCAAACAACCAGCACCATCAATCGGGTTCTGGTGCGTCTTTGTCGCTGGTGGCAGGCAGTGCGTTTGATCCAACCAGCACCACGTGCTAGATAACGCAACATGTGGGCTGCAAAAAAAAGTGTGCTACACAAGAAAAAGTTTGACAAAGATTGGAAACAGCGAGGTTGGGAGGTTGCGTGGCCCAGATGACCACCGTCAAATACATGGTTCAGATTTTGGCCGCCAAAATGCGTGAAAATAAAAATATGTTTGAGTGCCTAGTGGAAATAAAAAGTGTTGAGGTAACCTAGATAAGCGCAGCACTAGAATGAACCACGGTTCGGCCCGAATGACTGGCGTGGCTATTCGCTTTTTGCATCACTATGCGCTATGGCGTGGCTATGCGCTTCTTTCAATACGTAGTGCTCCTCTGTCCCCCCACCGTGCTTGGTAGCGGTGGGATCATTGGCCTCGCTAAATAGCCAGGCAAGTCGGACCTGTGCTACGCTTTACAATTGCACTTCACGAGCACCTGCATCTTTGCATGCGTTTTTGACGATCAAAAATTTTACTGCAGGTCTTTGGTACAATTTGTTTTCCTGTTTGGCAGCATGCATGCTGGCTCGGGTTGTTTCTTTCATTGACAATCGAAGATCGCAAACGAACGGCTATTCATCCAGATGAACGATTCGCACGAAATGTTAGATGGTCGGATTTGGATGGAAAACTGTACAGGAATGAGCTCCCTTTGATTTCTTGGCTTGCCATCCCTACATGCTTCAACATACAGCGTACGCACCCCGTACATGTCCAAAAGCGCGCACATCGCATCCTTCAAAGCGCGAAGGTATGCTGCGTACTGGCCATCCCTCCGTGTCCTTTCCTTCGTTATCTCCCGTTCGCGCTAAACATGAGTCCTCAGTTATCAACGGCTAGCTTACAAGGGGCCGTGCATTAAAACCACGCTTAAATTTTCTTGTCTACGATTGATTTGTTCCGACGACGCGCACATCAAGGCCATAGCACTTATATAAGTGCTAGGCCTGGTGTTTCCTTGCATGTTTTTTTATCTGTGCTTAGTTTGCTGCCGGTTGCTGTAATTTTATGTCATGGTCCAGAGGATTGGCAAGGCGACCGGCTGAGGCCTTCCTGGCAAAGCTGTGTCTGCCTGTTTTATACCGTTCGATGCTTGGATGTACGGGTTGTACGGGCAGTCGTACGGGGCTGTTCTCACAGCCTGCTCTTGCGTTCGGCCACGCAAGTTATTCACGCAGGTACGCGAGCGTTCCGCAACCTGAGCGCTTTGTTCCGTAGGCCACATGCGCGATAGCGCTCTTGTGCATTTTCCCATATGGCTTGGGTTTTTTTTATAGCCGCCTGTTTCGGAGCACACGGGCTTCGGCTCGTCTAGCTTTATCCGGGTCTCGGGTCTCCAATTGACTGGGATGCATTCACTGCGGCTTCTCCGTGCAGGCGTTGTCCCGCGCATGATATCCCGCGTGTCGCCTTTCGTGTTTAGGTTTTCCTAAGGCCCTAGTGTCCAGTGCACTGTAAGCCGAGTGATGCTGGAAGGATTAGGGTCGACTGGCCGTGGCATGGGTCGACCGGCTGAATGCGATAAAGCTGTGGCGGCGGTGTGGGTGGAGGTGGAGGTGTGATGTGAGCGGTGCGACGTTTTTACCAACGTTTTCCGTCATGCCAGCGGTGGTGGCGAGCAGGTTTGTTAACCCCCTCCTTAACCCACTTGCTCCCATTCAGTTCATCTTGAACTTTTAAACTGAATCAATTCGCGCGAACTTGTGTATGATCATGATATGACAATCGACATTATCAATAATAATATTGTTTGGATCTTGCTGGCTGGCTGGCAGCTTTCTGATTTCTTTTCAGGGCGCCGAGTGAGAGAGCAGCAGACCGCGGAATTCATTGGCGGTATGTCGTTACAGGGTGGTTAGGTATGTAGGATATACTTGATATTGCGCGATTTCGTTGCGACAAGCAACAGCAGCACCCTCATTGAAGGGTTAGGTGGTATGGCATGTAATTGAAGGCAGTGTTGAAGCGAGCGCGCATTGCGGATTGCGCAACGTCGCGTGTGTTTCGTTGTGTGCTTATCTTCAGCATGTTTGCTGAGCGGTGCCGGTGCCGCGCATGTGTTGCGCGCTTGCTGCCGGAAATTTCGTGTTAAGGATAAAGGAGCGGGCTTGCTTAACGGCGCAACAGCGACCACACCGGTGGTCCGTTGTTTACGTGAGGAAACAGCGGGAACTGCGTGCCCGCGTTGGTTTGCTTTTGTTTTTGCTTGGATCATCGTGATGATGGTTGCTTTAAGTGGGATGTATTTCGGCTGTCGTGCAGCTGTTGGGTGAGGTTGGCTTTCGAGGAGGGCGTAAAAGCGCTGCGGCAGGTTGGGATGGCCCTGATTCGCAGTGTGCGTGCATTTAAGGAGGCTTACACCGTAACATGGCTGGCTGGCGGTTGGTTGGTGTTGGGGGCTAGGTGGTTGTGAGCATGAGGACGCGTTTTTCGTATAGTTTCCCATGGTGCTGAATCATCAAGAGAGCGGACGTGAGCGATGCGTACACGCGAGGTGGGCGCAGCTCTACGCAGCACGTGCTGGGTGGTTGCGCTGGAGTGATATATATACAATGTTAAAGGGATTTGGGTCTTCTGTCAAGGAAGCGCCTGTGCGATATTTTAAAATTTAAGAATGTTTGCTAATGGGTCCTATTCTGGCTCGGCCTCGTGAGTCGATGCACGAGAGTTTCCGGCGAGACTCAAATACCGTACACCACGTGGTGGTTAAAAGTATTGGCATGTAACCAAGCTCCCCGTAGTAACAGGGAATTGAAGCCTAAGGGAGGCAGTGGCGAAAGAAGGAGAAGGTCGCTTTTTTTCTGGAACGTGTAGCGAAGAGTTGCCGTGCATTGCCGTGCGCCATAACTTCGGGTAACTTTTCGGACAGTGCGGATTTTGTGTATCATACAAGTGCGCTAGTCACTATGGCTATGTGGCAGAATTTGAGTAATTTCTGATGGAGCTTTCCAGGTGGGCAATTTGTAACTTCAACGACCCGCATAAGGGATGGGCATACCTTTACGCATTTTAATGAAATAAGTAGTGCGTCTGTCGCGCTAATGATGAGTTATTACAAGGCTCAATACAGCTATCTGAGGTGGAGGGGGAGGCCAGGTTGGAAATGAATATGCAAATCGGCCGCTGAACCCGACATGGGGAATTGCTGTGGAGCTGTCAAACTTGGACACGACGTCGTCTCACCGAGGGAACTTCCTGGTGTGGCCCATGAGCAAAAGTTCGTTTGGCAGACCCTCTAGATTAGTTTTGCGTTACAAACTTCGTAATTTCAAACAATACTTGCAGTTGTTGAACAAACCGATGCGGGGTCGCTTATCAATAACCGCTTCAACGACACCAGTGAACATGTAGCTACCGGAGCTATCGGCGTGCTGGAGCATGCGGAGCTAGAAACTTTGCTTCGAGGGCTTCTTGATCCGGTGGCTGTTCTCTGCGTGAACTCAGTACAGCCTAGGCAGACGAACGATTCCTGGGCATTCGACCGCACGAAAGACACCGCTGGGGATGGCAGTACAACCAGCCTCCGCTTAAGGAATGTTGACAAAGTCCCGCATGCCTGCATTGTCCGGACAGCATCTGCACCCGGACAAGGCGACGAGCTGTCGCTATCCGTTTCCACAGAGCACGGAACAGTGTCGCTCCGCTGCATCCTTGCAAACGAGGCGGCTCTCCGGGACCTTAACCTCCGAAACCAACAGGTGCGCATGGCCCAAAATGACTGGCGTGATGACCGACCGGACGATGACCGGATGCTTCGCACATGCGGCAGTGTGCAGCATATTATTATTCCTAGCGCCTCGGGAGCTGTCTTGGCGGTCTGTTATTATTGCGAAGTGTGCGTGCGAGCGCATGCACTGCATAAATAGCTGCTCCTGTTTGCCGATAGAAAATGATGTCTTGATGTGCGACTCATTCCGGCGACTTCCCCCTCGGGGTCCCCCTCGTGCAGGACGTCCTGCGCTTCCTGGCCGACAGCTTTTCCCGGGATGGCTGTCTCAGGACGCTGTTCTACGACATCACCATGTGAGGCACAGGGGGGCCGTCCTGCCGTGCTTCGCCGTACTTCGCCGTACCGTTTTCTGCCGTGCTGACAAGTGAACTGAAGTTATTTTGTATATCATGTTCTCACGCTGCTCATACCCCTCAGGCAACTCCTTTCCGGACGGCTCGCACCGGTCACGCACTTCGTGCCGGGGAACTTTGGCCGGGACCGCTACTTCCTGAATATCCGGGTGAGTGAGTGTGTGTGTATGTATGTACGAGTGTGTACGTGTGTGGGGTGTGGGTGTGGGGGATGGGGTGTGGTGTGTGTGTGTGTGTGGATGGGTATGTACATGCGTGCGGGTGCCTGGCACGAGTAGCTGGCTGGGTGGGTGGGTTGAGACGCGAAGGAGGGATGTGTGCCTGCTGTACAGCTTTATTGCACAGAACTCTCACGAATAATTAAGTTGGTGTTCTCCGAAATGCTGTTTCTGGTGTTTGTAAGATTTGGTACGGAATATATATTTGAGAGCTGTACGACAGTACGACGTGGTCTGACGTGTTTTGACGCCACGTTGTTTCTAATTTTTCAGGTGTCCCCGTTTGCGTATCGCGCTCCGACTTTTGCGCCGGGGGTAGAAAGTCCTGGTCTGGGCACTGGAGGCAGCGGCGGCGTTGGCGACAGCAGCGGCAGCGGCGGCGGTGGCGGCGGCGGCGGCGGCGGTGGCGGTGGCGGTGGCGGTGGCGGTGGCG